TCTCATGTGCTTGATGAGAAGAGGAACAGACTTATGGCTGATAAAGCAGAGAAGCTACTGTTCATTAAAAAGAACCTCCCACTTTTCCTTAATAAGTAGACAAGGCTGGCTTATCATAAGCTTATCTAGTTCTACATGTCTACTCCACTTTCCTGAACAATTTTCATTGTGAGTTATAATTCACCATCTCAGGTTATCATTAGGGGGAAATGACAGCAGCACAGTGTTCAATATATTGTACTTTCGGTATCTAAATGATACAATGTTGTTTACATTGCTCATGAGGACAGACCACCTTATTTACAGATTCTTGAAATTTAATTGTTCAAATTTCATTTGTAAATAGTTACATTCATGTGGATTTATCCAGTTTGCACATTTGTATGCATGCACTTATAGGTGCATTTGTTGTTGTTGTTGAAGGCCTGGCTGTTACAGTCTTTATTTACACTATTTTGTTGTAGGCCTACTGGCCTAGATGTTTATGCCATTTTAAAGCACCTTGGCTTTGTTCTAATGCCCTTTGTTGTAGTTATCCTACAGAGAAAAGAAAATGCACTTGACTTGACTTGACGAATGAATGTACTGTATGCATTAAAAAGTGCTGAATAAATGGACCCATAATAGTGATTATTATTTAAGTTAAGTTTTGCCATAATCATGTATTTTTCTATAATCAGGTAGCTGAACAACATTGGTAAAAAATGTATACATTATATATATATATTAATCATTTTCGGCCTTTCGGCATTCGGTTTTCGGCCAACTGTTTCATATTTTCGGTATCGGTTTCGTCCAAGAATTTCCCATTCGGTGCACCCCTAGTTTTTTTGTTTAATTTTGCATCGAATATTTCCAAAATCCCCCAACTTAACTTCCGATGGAAACTTTCCGGAAATTTACAGGAAACTTTCCGCCCCTTTGCAACCCTAGTTGTCACTGACCATTTCTCAACAATGGGACATGCTTTCCCCTGTCGGAGTCAGTCTGCAAAACATGTCACTTGCCGGTTATGGAATGATTTCTTCTGTGTATACAGCTTCCCCAAGATAATCCATTCAGATCAGGGTGCCAACTTTGAGAGCAGACTAATTAAGGACCTTTTGGAGGTGGCGGGGGTGCAAAAGTCACACACCACACCTTACCACCCCATGGGTAATGGCATAACAGAACGCTTTAACAGGACGCTGGGGAATATGTTGAGAACCCTTCCCCCAACAATGAAAGCCAGGTGGCCCCAGGTGTTGCAGATGCTGACCTTTTGCTACAACTGCACAATACATGAGACAACCGGCTTTGCCCCGTTTTACCTCATATTTGGCCAGGTGCTACGTCCCCCTATTGACATTGTGTTCCAGCATGGGCTTCAGGATGAAAGAGATCATCCATAATGAGTTTGTCTCTCGGTTGAGACGGGACTTGTGTGAAGCTTCAAGGATTGCTCAAAACCACGGGCTTAATAAGCAAGCCCGTCATGCTTGGCTTAACAACCGCAAAGTCAAGGGTTCTCCGCTGGCTGTGGGTGATCGAGTTTTGTTGGCTAACCTTGGTGAGAGGGGCAAAAGGAAGCTTGCTGACAAGTGGGTTTCTATGCTCTATGGTGTTGTGTCGGTGAGGGCTGGGATTAATGTGTACAGGATAAGAGATGCCCAATCTGGAAAAGAGAGAGTTGTATATCGGAACCTGCTTCTCCCAGTTCACTTTCTTTCCATGGACGAGGGTGAAACCTCTGCCTTTGCTTGTCAACTCAGATAATGGGGATGAGCAATGCGGAAGTGGTCAAGTCTCTGTGCATGTGGACAATGTAAATGGCTTTGGACTGGCTCATGAACTCACCTGACCAAGTTTCTGTCAACGAGGTTCACTCACCTGACCAAGTCCCTGCCAGTGATGCTCACTCACCTGACTCAGTCCCTGCCATTGATGCTCACTCATCTGACTCAGACCCTGACAGTGTGACTCTACCAACCGTCCCAGACCCTGACAGTGTGACTCTACTACCTGACCCAGACAGTGTGACTCTACCGTCTGACCCAAACCCTGCGAGTGCTGCTGACTTGACTGACCCAGACTCAGTTGGAGTTTCTCATTTCATTTCCACAGAAGTTGTTGATGAAACCAATGCTATTTGCACACAGCCTCATAGTGTTCAAGCGGGCTGTGGTGGTTTAGCCACTACTACTTGTAATATCTGGCCTGGAAACAGATCATCATGGCCTTTCAGTAGTTTCACTCTATATGGGAAATTACAGCCTTTTGGCCTTATCTAGGGCAAAGCTCTCCAATTCCATGAACAGTAGAAATGCATAAGTAAACATAAAATAATGCTGAAAACAGCAGGCAGTAGTTACGTCTTGCATTTGAGAGTATTCAACGAACATGAGAAGGCATGTGTGAAAAAAGAAGCCAAACAGAGAATGGCACTGAAGTTGCACCCTGACTCCGAGCTCATCAGAGTCATTATTCTGTTGCCAATCCCAAAGGGAGGGGGGGGGTGGGCATTCACTGTGCTGCCCTCTTTTAGAAAGATAAGCTATATCTCGATACAAAATAGAAGTGTCTCTGAATGACATGGGGCTTGTTAAGACTTTATACTGTTTTCAATTGTTTAAACTTTTTGGGACCATGTACAGTATGTGTACCATCACTCCCTAACTTCCATTAAAATGGAAAATGGATGTCAATGTTGTAGCAATGTTTCACAATGCAGTATGTCTTGCTTCGGGCAGGCCCCATCCTTCTAAGCATGTTTAGACAGATAAAAACCAATCTAATAACTTGACAAGACACATGTAATGTGAGTAGCTGTAGTTTCAGGACCATGGACAGCGCTGCGCGTGTGTGCACTGACCCGGGTGCTGAACGTAGTGGAACATATCTACAGGTTTTATTTATTGTTGGCATAGGCTACAGTCTGTTTGTTAATTCACTTGTTTATGGAACCAATTTGTGCAAAATTCAGCTCCATGGGCTGTCGCTGTAATTTATCTGATGTGATTATTAGTGTCCAATTTTTTGTCATCATTGCTCGTCATACATATAGTCATGTGTCCTGCTCCCATCACAACCTTCATGGCTCAAATCACGGCATGACAAAGATCTGCAGGCCCTGGATCAGCATCTTTTTTCTTTCATCATGCTTGACTGTGGGGTAATTTCGAATATTTGTGTTGCTATCTGGACACTTGTAATTTGATCAGCATCTCCTTCAGGTACACAAAGAATATTTTCAATATAGCGCCATTATATAAAAATCCAACATTTACACAAAACAGTCTCAACAAGACAATCAGTGATTTGCAACAATCACCATAATATCCATTAAAGGCAGGTATTAAAGGTTTAGCTACTTTGGTGTAAAGCACAAAGCAAACCGCATTTATGCTCTATTTCCCTAGACATGCTTATGTAATATTTTCAATTAAGTAAGCCTTTTCTTTAACACACACACACACACACACACAGCCTGCTAGTTTGAGAGCAGACGTGGCCCCATGCACTAAAAGCAACATTAACGGCGGCATCAAGAGGACGGCTACTTATTAAATGAAATTAGGACAGATAGTGTTGTTTGCCCTTTTTCTTCTTCCTGCAACACACACATACAGGGATCAGCACATGCCCTTATCTTCAGAGAACAACATATAACTGTGCCATCAGACCCCTTTAAACAAAACTATAAACCCAAAGCAACACAGAGACCAAAGAATAAGGAAGTTACAGTACATGAAGTTATGACCCAGTCCAACGTACCTCCTTGCCGAGCTCTTCTCTGATGACCTGCTGGATCTCCTGCATGCTGCTCTGAGGAGCCCGGCTGTGGAGCACCTTCAGGGTGGACGTGTACTCCTCAGGCAGCAGGTAGTCCAGGGCCCCGAGGTGTTGGCCCACCTTGATGAAAGTCCCCCGGTTGGCACAGCACAAGTCTCGAAGACGTTCTGCCGATCGCAGATGCACCTGCAGGGGAAAAGACAGCCTAAAGTCAGAAACAGGATTGAAGGACTCGAGAATGCAGCAGTTTTAACATTTGGCCTGAGGATGGAGCCAAACAGTGTCTGTAAGGGTTCATCCTCTTCCTCCATTAATGCATTGAAGACGTTTTTGTTATCTGCCCACTGAAGATCATGGTCATTTGTAGAACCAGAAGTACAGTCAATTGTTGTCAGTGAACAGTTGGAGGGATGGATGTGTGCACTATAGTTCACATCACACTGGTGTCTATTACATGAACACATGTCTATTCATAATCCTAATATAGTGCAGTCACAAATGATGATCTGAAGGTTCACTGTATTCCTTCATCACACAGTTTTGGCCCATTGTTGGCTACTAATACTATAATAACATCTGAAAATAAGTTTTTGATCACTGATTTGATGATTTCTTGTAACTTCCGTTCCAGCACTAAAAAAGATAAATCAGGAGAAAGTAATGATGAGAACAGTGTGTGGGCAAGTAGACCAATAGCAATAGCTAAATTGAAGGCCAAACGTCCTCTGCATTAATATTTACATTACATTACATTACATTACATTACATTGCATTTAGCTGACGCTTTTATCCAAAGCGACTTACAATAAGTGCATTCGACCAGGAAGATACAACCTTTAAGAAAACAGAATCATATAAGTACATCAGGTTTCATAGAGCCAAACATTTCAAGTGCTACTCAACTGGCATTTAAAAAGCCAGCCCTTTATTAGTATATAAGTGCTTTGTTAGTAATTTTATCGCTCGAAGTGGAGTCTAAAGAGATGAGTTTTCAGTTTGCGTCGGAAGATGTGTAAGCTATCTGCTGTCCTGATTTCAATGGGGAGCTCATTCCACCATTTTGGAGCCAGGATAGCAAACCCACGTGTTTTTGCTGACGGGAACTTGGGTCCCCCTCGCAGTGCGGGTGCAGCGAGCTGTTTGGCTGATGCAGAGCGGAGTGCACGTGCTGGGGTGTACGGTTTAACCATGTCCTGGATGTAGGAAGGGCCAGATCCATTCGCAGCATGGTACGCAAGGCCAGTGAAGGGAGCGGAGGAGCGGTGTGGTGTGGGAGAATTTGGGAAGGTTGAAGACCAGA